TGTGTGTGTGTGTGTGTGTGTGTGTGTGTGTGTGTGTGTGTGTCATTAACACAACTTGCGTCAGAGGTCGCAGGATTTGGATTCAGAAGCACCACTCAGTGTGTGAATGTTAAGCTCCCCTGGTCAACTGAGGACAAAAACATTCAGGCGTCATCACCACCTTTGTAGTGTGTGTGTGTGTGTGTGTGTGTGTGTGTGTGTGTGTGTGTGTGTGTGCGTGTGCTCATATTTTGTATTCAAATAGACATAAAGTATACAACAGCTGAGCTCGTCCCTGTAGTCTCGCCAACAGTGTATTTTTCCTGAATGGCAGTGAGACGCGGCGGCATTGTGCGAGCAGAAACTCAAATCCATTCAGCCACGATAACATTGACGGTCTCTTATTTAACGTACGTTCTCAGCTCGACATTTAACTCTCCGCCGAGCCGGTTTAATCATCTCTTTGTGCTGCTGGAAGTCCCACCTTAAAGCGTTTTCATGAAGCAGACAGTTTACACAATAATAACTACCTATTTTCTATACCTTTTTTTATCCTGCGCAGGGTGCTTTAACATATCCCAGCATGCATTGGACAAGTTGCAGGGTACATAACTACTTTCTATTGTGGTTATGTTCTTCTTTCTTATGATATAATGTGCTACAGATATATTGCTCAGTCACAGCAGGAGCATGCTACAAACCATTTCACTATACAAACTGAAGAAACGCGATGATTGTCCGACAAAACTGTCCAAAAAATGTATGAGAAATGTTAGAAAAATCTGTTAATTGTGTCTGTGACAAATGAATGAATCTCTTGAATTCTGGGGTTTTGGAAGTCTTTCTCTCTTTTACATCATTAGAAGTTTGGAGGCACCTTCGGTTTAAAGGTTTAAAGTGTATCAGTGGGACAATAAGTCACATAAAGAACACAATAGTGCATAATAGAAACCGGTGATAGGATGTTGTACTACATGCCAGATAAGGAATTCATTTAAATGTTGTGCTGTGGGATCATCTTGGTTAAAGAGCTGCTAATCTTTAAAGAAGTCATTCGTTTTACTACGACGTGATGCAGAATTGCCGTTTCAGAAGCTTTTTACACTTTCAACAAAAACCCTGGTGGGAAACATTTCAGATTCTTTTAAAAAAAAAACTCTAAGAAATCAAATAGTGGTGAAATAATTAGCAGCGGCTTTCAAGAAAAACGTCTTTGCGGCATTATCGTTCAGAAGCTCACCTGAAGTCTAAAACCCGAGGAAAACCTCTCGTGGAGATAAATGAAGTCTTGAGTTCAGCTTCAGCTCAATTTCAGTAAGATCTGTTTGTGTTTTCCCTCCTATTAGTCGGACTTGTGTGAATTTCGGAAGGTGTATACTCGGAGGAGATCTGATAGGAGCACTCAGTATTGATCGGACCTTTAGTGGAACCACAAACAGGCTGATGTTTCAGCTAATGTGCCTTTCACCGAGCCCTAATGCTGCCGGGACGTGTCCCTGCTTAAGTTGACAGCGTTTAATGTGTGAATGTGAGTCCAGCCGTCTCTGTCCATGATGAGCTCATACCTTTTGATTCCTGCGTTCATTAGTAAAACATGAGCTGTTGTTTTTTGTGTCTGGGAAGTTTTTAAGGCGGTAACTTGTTCAGTGCAGTGTAAAAATAAAACTCCTACATAGTTAGCCACACTGTCCGGCTGTCCACCACTTTGGTCCAGACTGAAATATCTCAGCTAGTTTAGTTTATATACACAATTTAGAAAATACACAAACATAACGGAGATAATTAACATCACAGTGTAGGAAGAGGCAGGAAACCCACTGGGCTTATTTGAAGCCATAATGTTTCACAATATTAAGGAGAACACAAAAGTAATATACATAAGATATGACATATTATTGATATATAATTACAACAATAACAATACTTTTTCTTCAACTTCATCAAATTTTCGATGGATTTCCATTGAATTTGGTACCCACATGCATGGTTCCCAGAGGATGAATACTGACTTTTTGGGGGGGTTTTAAGTGAAATGTCTCAAACAACTATCGGATGGATTGCGGTGAAATTTACTTCACACATTCATGTTCCCCTCAAGATGAAATGTAATTGGTGATCCTTTCATTTTTCATCGAGCGCCATCATCAGGTCAAACCTGCAAAACTAACAGCCTCTGCTGTGCTAATTAGCTAATATTAGCATGCTAACACGCTAAACTGAGATGATGAACATGGTCGGGTTGTTGGTGCACCCATGAAAAGCAGTGGACAGTTATTCGTAAATGACCCACGTAAGGCAGGACGTGCAGGGCTTCCTCTAACAAAGTCCGGTGACGTAAAGAGCGAAGTCAGAAGTCCTGAGGAGGTCAAAGTGGATGAACGGATCAAACAAACACAGGACTTTCACCCAGGAGACCGCTGTTATGAAAACCAAGTCAACGTTGACGTATTTAAATTATTTTGTTTGTACTTAATTAACACCGCGCGTGTAAGTTTCCAAGCAATCTTTCTTATTTCAACCCATTAAACCGTGAGCTTTTCCTAAACCAAGTAGTTTCACTCGTGTTGCTGGACATCCGTAGGAGAGCTCACAGAAATTGAATCATACGAGTGGTTGTGTGAGAAAACCTTATGGTACAAGGTAAACATTATACCTGCTAAAGATCAGCACCTTTCTCAATGTGAGAATGTTGGCATGCCCATCCCATGTAGCATTTAGCTTGCTAGCACGGCTGAAGACGTTTAGCCTTGTTTTATCATCTTGGGTCTGAAGTTTAGATTTCTTAACTGTGCTGTTCCGTTAACTCTTCATTTGTTGTGTTACGTTAAGATCTCTCTGTGTAATCTTACAGATTTCATCTCTGATTTTCAGCCTGCACTTTTGTCCTTCAACTTCTACAACGGTGTGTTTGCGTTTCTCACTCTGCCTGCATAGTGTTTATTTTGTCTCTAGTGCTTTGTTTGTCGCACTTGGTCCAAAAGCCCCATCTTTCTCAGCGCGAATCATCTCTCTGAGCTCCCGTGTTATACTTTTTCAAATCCCTCTCCACCTGCTGGCCTCCGTCTGGGCAGGGCTATAAATTACACAGAGGAGTCATGTTTGTGGAAGTAAACAACTCGAGAGTTGCCCTGAGATCAGTACTCGACAGGAGCAACACTTAATCAAAAATACATTTCGCTACTGATTCCATGACCACCAAATGTCAAGGCTGAGCCACAAATATGTGCAATATATCAAAAGTTTTATAGAAATCACTTCTGACGAGGCTGGCGAAGAGAAAGTAAGAGGAAATAAGCGACAGGTTATTTCCATCTTTCCATTACAGTCGTAATTAACTTAGAAGTAATTTTGACAAATATACATTTAACGTGTAATAAAGGTTCTGATGCATGTCGACCTTCCTACCTTGTGTAGGAGGAAAAAATGAGAACACTGAAGAAATGGAAGCAGCAGCCAGTGATTGAAAAATAATAAGATGGATGTCTGCGTTTTTGTGTTTTTCTCTCCCCCCCCCCCCCCCCAACCCTTCATACTTCTCTCTCTCCCCAGGGTCCACAGCTGAGAAGTGATACATGGCTCAGTAATAGTCTGAGCTCCAGGGGAGAGCGTCTCCGTGTCCTCGGTAAGAGACTATCAACACACACACCTTCACACCCAGCCACGCACAGACAGTCACCAGGGTGCAGGCAAACACACGGGAGTACACACAGATTTGACTAATATCAGCTTCTGGAGGCCGATATGTCCTCGTTTCTTTCAATTTCTTTATTTTCTCTCGACAGATATTGAGACATATTCAGCAGCTTCAGTCATTAATATTCTTCTTGTCTGGTTCGAAGGAGCCTCTGAAAAAGCATTTAGATCGCCAGACTTTTGAATGAAACAAATACTAGTAGACTAGAGGAGGATTCATTCAGCTGATAATCACAGTGAAGTCACAAAGCATTACAGTGGCATTTGTTGTATTTCTCTGTACTGCAGCACATTGCATTTAATATGAAACAATGAGGGTAAAGTGCTGGTTTTCTCTTTTAATTTGACGTACATTTACATCAGATGAATAGTGAATCAACTGTAGCCCTGTTCCATGCACGGCAAGCTATCACGGGGCTGATACATGCAGACAGACCAACATTCACACTAATTTAGAGCCTGTAATTAATTAACTCCCAACAGAAAGCAAACTCCAGCTGATTCAATCCAACGTCAGTCTTGCTGTGAGGCAGCAGAGCGAAGCACTTAACTTAACTCTCTGGGACAAACTAAGATCAAGTTTGTCTTTATATACAGTATAGTAACGTGTTTTTTTAAATATTTTATGGAAATGATTGGCTTTATTGGACAGTTGGAAGTATACACACAGACAGAGGCATAACCACTCAGTTGCCACAGACATCTGTTGTGATGATCTGACAGAGAAGAACAACATCCCTCTGTTTGGCCGTAAACACTTTGGCTTCCTTGTGTTTTGTTAGAAAAAGATTGTCGGGGTGCATTGTCTTAAAACTGAGCGTCCTGAACACCCTGAAATTTGAGTTGAAAGAGAGCACTTTAACCTGCTGGTCATTAGAAGACTACTCCACTAGTTTAGCATCACACTGATCTAATATTGTCCGTCTTACTTTTCCTACATTACCCACAATGCCGACAGTTCAATCAGAGATTCAGATGTGTTATGCTAGTAGTGGCTAATGTAGCATCGAGCCCGTGGAGGTAATTTATAATATAAACTGGACACGGAGCATCCGCTCAGCCCTGCTTTCCTATTTGTCCTAGTAGCCACTGGTGGTATTGCAGCTACAAATCCACAAGGGGCATTTTCCCCATAGACCCCAATGTTGACTTTTTCTATCACATCTTTTTGATTTCATGAGACTTTATGTTTGTAAGACTTCTTGAGAGAAGCGATTTTAAAATCTGTGACCTAAACGCGGAAGCTAGAAAACTTTTTTTGGCGTAAGCAGCAGGCGAGCACTCCTCATTGGACTGAATAGGTGCCATCTTGTGTTCTGATAAACTCACCTCTTACAGGCTTCACACAGCTCCCTCCAGAAAGACTGAAGGCATTATACTACTTGTTTCACATGCAGCAGTACTTTGATGGGTAAAATTGGTGGAGTTCTCCTTTAATTCACCTAAATTCCAATGTGCTGGAGTACAGAGACAAAACAAAACATGTAGCACTGTCCTAATGCTTTCTGACTGTAGTGCAGACAAAAGACAACACACACACACACACACATAGTGAATCATTTATCCCTTTTCAGAGTTTAGATCTGGGCGACCTTTCTACGGACCGATGCCTGGCCGTCTGACAGCAGGAGGCAGTTCTGGGTGAGTAACAACGCTTCTTTTTCTCACCTCTAAAAGATTTGAGGAGACAAGAGGCGACACTCTCACGCAACGTCATTTCTGTCTGGACTCTGTTCAGATGTAAGAGGAGAGCCGAGGACACCGGCACTGCCTTTTGTATTCTGTCACAGTGGCTTTCAGCAAAATGGAAAAATAGATTGAGGTGTGCAGAAACGATAGAGGCATGAAAAAAAGATAATAGCATTTTACCTGATCCCCATCTTTCTGTACCGGCACAGCATCCGCTGCTGGAGAGACAAAGAGAGAAAGAAACAGAGGGACAGACAGAGAGATATGAATTAAAGATAATTTCATTATCACAGGTGCTTCAGTATAGCTACAGGTATCAGACCATGGCGGGAAACACAGACGCCAGGAAACATCAGTCCAGAATACACAATCGCTTTGTCTCAGCTATTCATGAGAGGGGAGGACGAGCGAGGGACGGAGAGACGGGAAGGTGTGAGTGAGGGACGCTGACAGAGAGAGAGAGGGGGCGGAAAACAGTATGTCAAACTGATGCAGCCTTCAACATGCTCGCTGGGGGAAATTGACCACGCTGTCCACTACTTCTCTCCCTCGCACACAAACACGCCGGGGCTAAAATTAGATTCATTATCCACGCCAAGCTTTGGCACACAGAGGGCACAACCGGTATGAGTCACGAAGGCCACAGATGATTCTGAAATATGTGAGGGTGATGAAAAGGGTAAGCTATTCTGTTAGTTGTTATCATAAGTAATGCAGTGCTATTTTAATAATTTAGAGGCGATAGAATGGAAGACGTGCAGTTGACCAGCCAGAGCCTGAAGATTTGATGATGACTGATTTAACCTCTCCTTCCCATTACACTTGAGTCTGACCTTAACGTTAAATGAGTCCAGTGCAAACACCCACGTGAAAAGCATCCACGCATCACTGCTCCATCATTGTCAGGTTAACACTGTTCAGTGACAGTATTCCAGCCTGGTAATCAGATGCATTTCTCCGACATCGTCTTCGCGTTGGTCAGCATCGAGAGACGCATCCGTCTTCGCCGACTTCATTGTCAGTCGTCACAGACGGCGTTCGCAGAAGCGGTTGCCAGGAACACTTAATTTAACGTTTGTCATGTCGGTCGAAGATTTATTTCTCTGCGAGTCGACTTGCATCGACCCGCGAGGCTGTGTCGCTCTCATCCAAGCTTGTCTCGGGGTTTTATTTTTTGCCATTTTCTCGCCATTGACTCATAATAAATGATTTGTGCATTGTTTTACTGAATTATTCTCTCAAATGACTCAATTCACTCTCTCCCTGCAATAAATGATACTCTTATTGTAGCAGTAGGAACTGACGTTACAGGTTGTTAGATGTGTTGCAGAGATACTCCCCCCAGGTCTCTCATTCTGATACAATTTTAATGCCAAATTGGATGTGGTTTCAGTTCCTTGTTTACTCTTTGCTTTCTAGTTTGGCTGGTGGTGGACGTATGCTGACGTGTAAAGCACGCAAAGTAAACAGTAAAAACTGTAAACGTAATAAATGTAACACCAAGCGGCATCCTTTGGTGCTGAGAAAGGAAGCCAACGCAGAAGTGCTAAAAACTACAGTTCCTCAAATGTTCCCTTGAGGTTCCACAAGCGAGTCAATCTCCACAGACCTCCATGTTAAAACTTAAAAGCTGAAATAAACATGTTTACAGCTTGGTTCAAAAAAAATTGTGGTCGCTATAGCTAATATCCTCGTTCATGACAACTGTACAGAGTGTTTAAATTATACTTAAGGGCGTGGCTGATTTGAGTGACAGGTGGGCGCTGCCTCAGCTCCACCAACGATCCACCTCTTTGCCCATTTTCACAGTTAGGCTGTTGGTCACTGCCAAGATGGCAACGGCCGGAACCGCCCACTTTGATCTTCACAACGTCTCCTCAGAAACCTGGGTGACGTCACGGAGACTACGTCCATGTTTCATACAGTCCTTGGGACTTATTTTGAGTGCAGAGTTCCTTTATCTTTGACATCCTTTACATGTATTTTATGGGATATTTTTTCTGTTCTATATCAAAAGTTTTCATCCCTGAAACCAGGCCACGTACTTTTAAGTACGCCTTTTGTCAAATGTGAAAATCTTGTTTTGCTTTTTCTGTCACAAAGCTCACAATGACTGAGCAGCACTTTTATTATAGATGCCGTCGACAGATGGGCAATTCTACTCAGTCTGGGGAAGATGACACCAGGATTAGAGTGGCGTGTTAGCGGCGGAGAGATAATGAGTCAGCATCAGTGCCGGCTCAGACGGTGGAGCGGTTTGGGATTTGAGACTGAGATCTCTCTCTTGGATTCTCAAACCGAGCAGGAAAAGTCTGAGGAAACGTGAAGTAGAAGCGACCGAAAGATCACTTATTGAACCCACACCCGGTCTCTACTTCTGCAGAGAGAGGTCGAAGAAAAATTAACAATACAGGAGGTTAGATTATTAAAGAATGAGTATGTTTATGTGCACACTACTAATCCATTTAAAGGAGCAATATGCAACATTCAGAGCATAACTATATAGCAGCGAACAGCTATTGTCTATGTAAAGACATGGTGGAGTAATGTCTCTGTTAGCGCTGTTAGCATCATAAGCTACAAGCCACCGACTGTTAAAAGCCATTGAGAGGCCATCGGCATGTTCCCAATCTCGTATTAAGCTCCTTTAAGGAAAATCCTGGTTGTGTTTACACATATACTGGCATCTAGTCCCACAACAAATATACATTATGATATACAGTAAACATGGTCAGAGGTGAAGAAGTGTATTTCCTCTCAACAGCTCAGCTCTAGACCAACCTAATACTTTGTATATTGATTTTTAACATTATCTACAAATGGAACCAGCAAGCAAAACAAACATGCTGTGTTTGTTCTATCTGATTCGATTGCGATACTTCACGATAATTCAGTTTTAATGCCAGTCAGCAGATGAGCAGCCTGCAAGAACGGCAACCACTGAGCAGGAACTCTGACTTTAAAATCATGTAATCAGGTATATATATATATATATATATATATATATATATATATAAAAAACTCTTTTGTGACTCTCTCCCACTCTGTCTGTCGAGCTGTCCTCGTTGCTCCCGGCATGATTCATGAGCTCTGGGAGGGTTGTCAGCCGCCGCGGTTCACCTGCTCATCCAGAGCCCCCGAAGGCCATAAAAGCTGCCCATTAGCTCATTTTCTGTCTCACTTCCAGCTGGCGTCCACCTTGTATGCTTTCCTGTTTTTTATTTGGCAACTTTCAGCACCTACACAGCCACCTGTTATTTTGATTCTTTCATCATTTGTTTGGTTATCAAATGTCCAAATTTCCCAAAGTGACGTCTTCAAATGACAGAAAGGAGCAGTAAATCACATTTAAGAATCTGCATTAATGACTTAATTAAACAGTTAATAAATTATCGCAATTGTTGTATATTTTTAATTGAATCATTTAATCCCTACATGCAACGCTCTTGCCGCTGATTTGCCTCATTTTCCCACTTGATCTTTCGTAATCTATTTTTGATCAATTGCTGATCCTTTGTGTCGCAGTCCCTCAGCTAGTTTGTGCCATTGGGTACATCCCAAGTCTCTTAATTCTCATTTCCTCGCTCCTCGATCCTCGCTTGAACCGGAAGTTGTTCTGCGCCGCCATATTGACGGCCGTCCCAAAGCTCTTATTTAGCTCTGAGGATCGAGGATGGAGGAGGGATCTCTGAGGAGCCATGAGCGAGGACCCACGAGAACAGACTTACAGGAAGTCTTTTAACGGCCGACACTTTTATCGCATCGTTGGGATCGAGTAAAAAATGAAATCTCTGTCCAGTGTAACGTCGCCAGCGCTGAAATTAGATTAATTATCCACACCGTGCTTTGGCACAGGGGGCTGCGATCGCGAGGCCTGCGATGTTGAAGGAAATTAGATTTAAGTGGCGATGAAAGGAGAGGCCTCCCCCGTGTTAACACTAATTATTACCTCAATCTCTGATATGAGAACTCAGATGAAATGCTGCCGCTCCTCCTCGTCGCTCCTGTTGGATCCAAAAAAGAGGCTGCAGGAGACACTGAAATACTTAAAGTCAAGGGCTTTGAAATTAGTCCAACTTCAGCGACAAATAACAGAAGTCGAGTGAAGGGTGCTTATGCGGAAAATTGCTTAAGTTGTTTGAATATCACTCGCAGATTGTTTCGAGAGAGAATCATCTTGAGCTTTCTACACTCTCGCCAGGAGAACGCTTCATTGTTCAAAGCCACGTCCTCTCTCTCATCTCCCTTCTGATGAAAAGCTGATTGAAGCGGATTTAACAGCTGAAATCAATGAGGCAGCCTGGACTGACTTATCAGTCCACTTCGATATTTCTTATGTACTGTATTCTCAACATATAGCCCGACATCCTCATTGATGGCCGTCCGCATTGATCCGGCCCCTCCCCCGCTGAAGGGAGCGATGCCGATCGACAGCGCCTGAAAATAACCTCGGCCTTCACACTCACTTCATTGGAGACTTAAGCTTTCCATCCAAATCAATATCAATAAAGCCCTTTGAGGAAAAGGGTGTGGGTGGAGGTGGTGGTGGTGTGGATGGAGGAGGAGTGTGGGGGGGAGGGTAGAAGATACAGTTCAGAGATGATGTTCTTCATCTCAAGGGACGAGAAATGACAGCTCCGTACCAAAGTCGCTCCGAGCGATCGATTTGTTGAGTAGAAGAAACCGACTGAAAGGCTTCAATTCAAAATGCTTTCTATCCGCTTGGACAGAAGAAGACAAATGCTCCGCACAAATACTTGTATTCTATAAAATGCTGCTAGTGTCTAACATTATCAGAGAAATAACCCTAACCCAAAATAAACATTTAAAGGGCCAGCGTGCAGCATTCTGGAGGATCTATTAGCGAAAATGTAATATAATATTCATAACTATGTGTTCAGTAATGAATGATTTAAACTAAGGATCGTTGTCGCTTCGTTGGCTTAGAGTAAGCTCTTCAGAGGAGCCGGTCCTCTTCAGAGAGTCGGCCGCGTCGCACCGCCATGTTTCGACAGTAGCCCACGACGGACAACCCAAACGCCAGCTCTAGAAAGAGCCTTTTACTCGAGCCAGAGAGAGCAAAACCGAGGTACCGCCAGCCGGTGTCTGACTTCTCCTGGAGTAGAGTTGTTAATTTCTCATATTAGCTACATTTACACACAGAAACACACATTATAACACATTATTGTTGTTATTATGACACATTTTTAGGCCTGAC